AGTGACCAGACCATTCGCTGCTACAGTCTCAGGGTAAAAACACGTATCTTCTTTTACTGATTAAACAGATTCAGATTTAATAAATGATTGTCTTTGCACTACTCAATGATTGAATTAATCATTCTCTGTTTGATCTGATTAGATACACGTTATAGGATTTTTTGAGTAATGCATTAATTGTTTAAAAAAAGGAAAACATTTCTTTTATTGTTGTTTGAGCTCTTTTATTGACCGTGGTTGACTATAGCCATATTTGTGAAGCATGAATGCCATGAGGTGCTTTATTTTTATAAAAAATGTGTAATTGGGACCAAACTTGTTGAACGTTGTTCAACAGTATTCACCTTAAAGCGTATCTTTTTCTTTGACTGATTCAGTTCAGTGCTGAAAGCATAAATGAAGTCAATTCGTTTCTGGACTTACGGCCTTTCATATCCACAGACACGAGAACTTGAGCAGCAGTTCTCTCTGTCAGACCGAGTCCTCTGCCTCCACAGTCGCTGGAAGATTTTATACGCTGGTCTGGCAAACGGCACAGTGGTGACCTTTAACCTCAAGGTAAGAAATGCAGTGTACCACAGTGTGCCTTAAGCAGTCAAGTAGCAAGTGACAGCCTGTCACATCTGGTAAGTGACAGGCTGTTTTGATGAAGATGAAATTCTGTAGTAGTTATGGAAACTTTTCCATAGACAAAAGGTGAAAAATTTGAAAGACTGAAATAAAAGTATGACTCAACAATGTTAGATCATTTCAACCTTTTCTTAAGTATTTTTGTTTTTATGAACAAGGGCTGCAGCGATTAGGCAAATCATTGATAAGCTGATGGACAGAAAATTAATCCACTACTATTTTAATTATTGATTCATAGTTTAAGTAATTTTCAAACAAAAATGGCAATCATTTAATGGTTGTTAAATTCTGTGATTGTAAACTGAATATCTTTGGGATGTGTTTTGTGTGTTTTTTTTGTGTTACCTTGTGCTTAAGTAAATTGTGACACTGTTACACTATCACATGACATTTTTAAGACCAAGTGTTCAATCGATTGATTGAGGAAATACAGCAGTAATAGTTTGCTGCATTGAAGTCAAGTCGGAAGCGCTCTTTTAGTTAATATTTTTATACCATTACATTTTGCCACAAGTGGTAGTTGGCTAGCTTTGGGGAGAAATGTGGAAAGTGTCTCTATCCAAAGGCTTTTGTATTTATTTTCCAAATATTTGTTTAGACCAACAAGCAGATGGATGTGTTTGAGTGCCACGGGCCGCGGCCTGTGAGCTGTCTGGCTTCATCACAGGAGGGAGCCCGGAGGATCCTGCTGGTTGGCTCCTACGATAGCACCATCAGCGTGAGAGATGCCAAGAACGGACTGTTGCTGCGTACACTGGAGGGGCACACCAAAACTGTACTCTGCATGAAGGTAGGTCGAGAAATCTGAATTTCAACAGTGAGACTTGACTATGAGACTCTTGTTGTAAATTTAATTTAAGACATAAGTAGTGGAATGAAAAAATCTATCTGTTGTTGTATGTAAATCTATGTAGATTCTTGAAGCATGTATAGTGAACACTGACAACAAATTCAGTCAAGCTATCTGTATACATAGTGTGGTTGGTAAAGGTCATGATAGGTTCAATTGTTTAACTTAAGTAGGCCAAAGGTCACAGCCAGGGACTCTCCAAAACAGTAGGTAGGCTCTGTCTCTCTTCTCTGCCTGCATGGTCGACCCACTGCCACAGCTGGTCGAGATTATCTTTATTGTATTTCATTACAGACAGACTGACTGGCTCGATGTAGAAAGTGTTGCATGTGGCTTGAATGACACAACGTGACTTTAGGTTAAGTTAGGTAAGCATAGTGTCTTGATTTGAACCAATATCTTAATAGTCTTCACTCATGTATAGGAGGGTGAACAATAACCTCATGTGAATCTCTGTAGATAAGGGATAAATATCTCCAGACAGGAAGTATCCTTCAGATTGGTTTTGGTACTACATTGGATCTGTAAGGTGTATGCTGCTACTATGCTCCCTGGCCGGGCTCAATAAACAATGCTGTGTACATTTTTATGAGTTTCCGAGAATTTCTCACACCTCACACCTGGCTCACTTTATTTTTATAACAACTAGTACTAAGTGTATTATCATCTCTCTCCTCCTATTTCTCTCTCAGGTGGTCAATGACCTTGTATTTAGTGGATCCAGTGATCAGTGTGTTTACGCACACAACATCCATGTGAGTCATCCTGTTTGTCTCTTTATACATGAGAAGAAATAGATTTTTTGTACATGTTTATAATTCTTGTTCTTTTCATATGCACAGTTCAGTAGAATCACAAGCTATAATGTTTTAGAAATATTTTAATACATCTGTACATCACACATTTTCTCAACACTGTGCCACTTGTACAGACAGGAGAGCTGGTGCGGGTCTACAAGGGCCACAGTCATGCTGTTACTGTAGTGGCCGTCCTGGGGAAGGTGATGGTGACTGCTTGTCTGGACAAACTTGTCCGCGTCTACGATCTACAGGTCTGCATCTTTAAACCATATCTGTCTTTAAATAATATTAAACAGTCTCTCAGCCACTCTGCCTACTGAGCACTTTATAAATATGTATGTGACAGCTGTTTTGTGCATATTTGCATGTCTTAGCACAATAAAATCTGAAAGGATTTCAACCTGTTATTCTCTCCACAGTCTCATGATCAGCTGCAGGTTTATGGTGGACACAAGGACATGGTGATGTGTATGGCTATCCACAAGAACATGGTGAGAAACCTGCTTATTCCAGTGCTTTATGTTAGAAAAATTTGTACATTAAACAAATATATTGGGAACACTATTGATCCTAACTGTAACTCGCAAAAGAATAAACTAATTTAACATTAAACATTAAAACATGTTTAGATTAGATTATCACCAGTGGATGAGTTTTATATCATCTATGATCTATACATATTCTCTAACTTTTTGTACAAATCATTTACAACCCAAAATATGCTGAGGTTTAAAAATACCGGAATTTTCCTGATAAGATCAGCCTTTTATTTGTGTTAATTCTGTGTTTCAGATCTACACAGGCTGTTACGATGGCAGCGTGCAGGTCAACAAGCTGAACCTGATGCAGAACTACCGCTGCTGGGTAAGATAGTGTGTTACAAATACAAAGCAGAGCGGAGAGGTGAATGAGTTTATTCAGACGATGTAAGAGTCACTTACGCAACATGTCATGTGGCTGAATTTCATTTTGGTGCATTCAGGCTACTGTAATAGGAGAAATCAAGAATATTCAGGAGACATCTGCCTCTTTTAGAATTGATTTCAGGTTTGACATCACATCCTGATGTTTTTGTCAGTGTAGGCAGCCCTGTAGTGCAGTGGTTCCCAACCTTTTAAGCTTGTGGCCCCTTAAAATTATGGAACTTGGGACACATTTCTACCAAAGAGTGACTTACGTAATATTAATAATTCACATAAAAAAGCACACACATAACATTCAACAAAACATTGTATAGCAGAAATTAGTTTTTTCCGTCTTTCCTATCCAGTTTATTTTCTTTCCACCCCTCAGATTTGTCATGGCTGCAAGTCTGCTAGGTTTCAGTCTGCCTTGACCCCCTTATCAGTGATTGGTGCCATTTTTCCCTCTGAAAATACGGTCAGACTGAATTTTATGAGGAACGGGGCAAGATGTCTTTACCTGCGCAGAGTTCAAATTGATTTTACATTTCTCGTTTTATTATTGCATGGCCAAATAAAAGCAGCAGCAGAGGAGAGCTGCTGTTTGGCTGCAGTGAGTGCAAGGACAGCAACGGAGGGATGACAGTGAAGTGTTGCTGTTGTAATTTACAGCTTTGTGGACGGCTGTTGTTAGCCCACTATCAATGTAAACAGTTTATGTTTACAACCCTACTCAAGCTATTTTCTGTTTCACCTGCTTTTTGCAACACGAGAACATTTTGCCAAGCGAAATCTGACCTGAGCCTCTGAGATGCAGACTGCCTGGTTAATAAAGGTGTCTTGTGTTGACAGTGGCACGGCTGTTCGCTGGTGTTCGGGATGATGGAGCATCTGCAGCAGCACCTGATGAATGACCACACCAGTGCCAACTCCCAGACGCTTAAGTGCCGCTGGAAAAATTGTGAAGAGTTTTTCTGTGCACGCAACAACTCCAAGCAGGTATAGAAACATTTTTTCCCTCCCATATCAACCTATTTATTATCTTTTTAGTATGTAGCGAAATACGTTTTGGTTTTGGAACTTGATTTGCAGCATATTTCTTTGTCTGTTGCAGGGGATGCTGATGCACATGCAGAAACACGCTGAGGAGGAGAATGAATTGGAGCCTTAAGGACTGGTGGTGGGAACTTTGTTTCTCCGAGCCCTCTACCCTTACCTGCTATCTTTACCCTCTTAACCTCCCATATTGGGGGGGATGTTCTTGGGACCCACTAAACCTGTCAAGCCTGATGAGTGGCGTCTGACGACTCCATCCTTTATGTTCGGTGTTGGAATCCAACCAAAATACAATCATGAAAGGAGGGTTGGTTGCGCTGTTGTTGTCTTTTTTATGTTCTACAAAACACGCCTTCCTCTCTCTCTCTGTCTGACCACTGCAGTTCCTCTTTTCACTGACCAAAGTTAAGAGAAAGAAACACATGACTTTTTTTATTGAAGAAACTTCAGCGTTGCCAGTATCAGAGGGACTTGTTATGCTTTTCTGTTGAAACAGAGACAGAAACTTCCAGATTTGTTAGCTACAATATGGCATGGGTTAAGAGATGTTTTTATTGTTGTTGTGCAGTTATGTGTCAAGTTCGAGCAACAGAGTTATTTTCCGTTTGTTTTGTTTAATTATGTTGCCATAATTCACTCAAAGTAACCTTATGTTTAAGATAATAATGAGTGATTTTAAAGTTTTCAGAAATTCATGGTGTAGTCTCACAGGTCGTGTTTTAATTAAACGGTGTGAGTATTTGTTTTGAAGACGTTTTTTTCATTTTCAGTTTTGTTTTCAGAAAAATCCAGTTGCTAACAATCTCTCTTTGTTTTGTTAGCAGTTTAGGATTACATTTATTTTTGTTGCTCAGTGATATTAAAGTGTTGAGGGAATTTGGTGCAGTGTTTTGTGACTTGGCCTGAGGTTTCCATTTGAGAATTTATATTTGCAGTGAGAACAGAACCAAGACAGGGTGGTAGTGTGTGTTCCTACATGTGTTTATCTGTGTAGGTTTATTCTCCCTAAGCGTTGAGTGTTTTAACTCCGTTTGGCGAACCCTGGGTGAGTGTGAAGTACTGTTTTTATGACACAATTTTCTCCTTGGAGATATTGATTTTGCAAATTTATTTTATATTTGGAGCATCGAGCAGAAGGCGCTGGAGCTGTATTTTCCACAGTGAAGATAGTTTTCTAATGAAGCGTGGAGGTGAAGGATGGTTCGAGGAGGTGTTCGAGGGAAGAGCATGAAGGGAAATATTAGGATTCATCTCCCATGCCATACCTCACCGCCTAAAAACTGCCAAGTTTGTAACACGAAGCCATTTTTTAAAGGCAAATTAAACCAGTTTTAAGTAGTATGAAAGTCCAGCTGATGCTCTCTTTGGAATAGTTTGTTGTGGTTACAGCGCTCTTGTTTGTGTCCTCTATTTTTGAGGATTAGTTGTCAGCCGAGTTAATCCGACGTTCTCACAACCCCCATCTTCCAAACTTGCCTCATACGCTCATTTTTTATGACTGAGGAAAGCATGCAGTTCACCTCTTACCTGGCATTCCTGAGTTTCTTCAAGTTTTTCAGTTATCAAAGTTGTGAAGAGATATTTTTTAAGAAAGTGCAATGTAATACATTGTTAATAATAAAAAAATGTTGCAATATGATAAAACTAGTGTCTTCTATATGGTGCTTTTGATTTATATTCTTTTATATGCACTTTAAGTGAATCTTATGGATCAGAAGAGCCCAAATATGAACATGACAAAGCACATTTTAAGATCAAAAACACCACAATTTCATATCAGATCTACTGGTAACGCAGTCAAACCAATAACTACACATTTATTTATTTGGTTAAAATAGTTAAAAATGCAGTACACTCATTTGATCAAAGCCTTAATCACAAAAAAAGCTGCAGTCCAACCTATTAGCCATATTCTTTCAAATCCATATTTGAACCTCGAACGTCAATATTGAAGTAAAAACTCGTCAGCTCCACAGTTTTGTTCTTGTTTTGTTCATCCACATGATGAGCTGAAAGACTGGACAGTTGTTGGGGGCGGGGATTTAATTCCTGTTGGCTGGAGCTGAGATGAACAAAAGAAGCCTGAGTTTGTCCACCAGGTAATGCTATCCGTAAGACTGGAGCTGGTACACAGTCGCTGGTGGGGTGAAATATGACTGATTCTTAAGGCCCACAAAAATTACAGCAGGATAGTTTTATTCACAAAAATACGTGATTGAAAACAGGGTGGGGGGTGGGGGGGGCAGAGTGATATCTGTTCAGGAGGCCTGGAAATCCTATAGAAAGTGTTGGTTGTATTATCAGAAATATAACAGTTGCAGGAGTAATTCACAAGTTTATTCACTGTCCACCAGAGAGCCCAGTTTACTGGAATGAGTACAGGAAGAATGCCCTTGCTGCTCAGTTTGATAACAGAAGAAGATAACACGGGGGGGGGTGGGGGGGTTTGGTAGAAGGAGCTCGGTGAGGTATTGTGACAGAAAAAAAGAGGTTGTGTGTGTTTGATGCCTGAGAAAAGTACCGTACAAGTGTTACGTAAGGGTGTCTTTAAAAATAAAAATAAAAGATGCTTATGGCTGAAAGGAGAGACTGATATTTAGATGATAATTGAAGGACAAGAGCAGAGAAAGAAATGCAAAAGGCCTGAGACCTAAATACAGGGAACTAGGAAGAGGAAGAAAAATTGAAAAGATAAACTGGAAGAAGCATGCTGAACATTTCGGAGTAGAAAGAGCAGAGCTGTTGGGACTGAGGGAGGGAAGGCTGAAGATGAAATGGATGAGAGCTAACGACGATCGGGCACACTGAATATTGAGGTAAAGGCTGGCAGGTCTGGTCCTCGTGAGGAGTGGAGCTCACCTGGGAGAATCTGGGCCTTTCTAGGCGTACATGGTCAACTGGAGCCACTGCAGGTAGAGAGAAGGAAACTTCAATAAATCTGGTTTATACACCTGGAGGCCATTTTTAAAATTACATTTACACTTTACAGACAGGCAAATTCAAGTCGGCTAAGTTCTACTTTTGTGTACAATTATAATAGTAGATTATCCATTAAAATGAAAGTGATTCATCGAGAGCAACGGCTTTATTTTTTAGTTTGATATAATCTATAGATTTCAGTAATAGATAAGATCAGCAGTCTTCATTAGAGCAGTGGTTCCTGACACTTTTTGCTCACATTTGTGCAAGTTTACAAGTTGAGAGGAGTTCAATCAAAGATGTATTCTCTCTTCTCAGAATACTTTTACATGCATGAAGGAGTAAAGCTTTACAGCCACTTGCCTATTAAATTACAGTATACCATATTACGTCACTAGATTAACATAAACTTTCTTTTGCAGCAGGCTGATGCTTCTTTAGAGGCACTTAAGCAGTAATGGACGTAGCCAGAGGTGGGAATAACCACAAAGCAGCTGTGTTGTGGGTTGTGGAACGAGTAACATGTCATCATAGCTCTTACCTCCAGGACACTGAGTCTGATTGTACCATCTCCGTCCTGATCAAAGGCCTGGAACGCCCCTGGAGAGGAAAACATCACACTTCATCGTTGATTCAACACTTTTTCCAGGAGCCCATTATGGACACCAAACTACTTAAAGTTACATATTGTTGTCAACCTGGTGGGTGATTCTTTATACAAAACAATACCAGGGGGGAAAAAAACTAGACTAGACACACCTTGTTTTCCTCTCTTGTGCATCCCTGACAGCAGCTGTAGTAATTGTTCAGAAATAGAAAATACAGGCTTCTTTCTCAACTTCCCACATACCCTGCTGTGCTAGTAAATGGCAACGTTTTCCTTTGGACGTACTTGTTGCACTTTAGGTTTATATTTTTCCCAGCTTCTGGTCAGAGAAACATCTACTGTATACCTGGCAGTTCCATCCCAAACAGGCCCGTTTTGTTTTTGTTTTCCTCCTGCTTTCTGCCTTTATGTTCCCTCCCTTGAGCCGGGGTCGTAACACTGACACTAGAATTTGTGTAAATAGACTAATAAATCTACAAGCTGTCAATTAGATGGGATGTGGCAGCCCCACTTGAACAAGGGCAATAAGAGAGTACATTTTCACATTAAAATCTTGCCAAGTGAAGTGCCAAACCACATTGAATGCAAAAAAAGAAAAGAAAATCACACCTTGTGGATAAAAAAAATAGAAAAAACACACAAAGTAAAATACTGCAATGCTGGAAAGAGTGTTTTTAAAATATTATCTATTGCTGCTTATCACCACCTGGCTTTCAGGTGAGGCGCTGACTTACTGAACATGGCTTCGAGCCGCACCAGACAGCTGATGAAGCTGTCGAAGTCTATGTTCATGTTCTCGTTTGCGTAGCGCATGGTGATGATATCGTACAGCTGGTTGTTGAGACGGAAGCCTGAGCGGGACACAAGACACATGGCTGTACAGTGACAAGAACATTTAGAGGATGAGTTCAAGCTGTTCATGTTCATCTGCAGCACAGACTGAATTAATCCTACAGTATACAAACGGGATGTTTACATCATAAATCAGAAAATACGATTCAATATCATGTCAATAAAATCATAGTTTCAAAATGTAGCATATAGCAAAACATCAGACAAATGAGCTTTTAAAAGTCATAAGGTAACATAAGCCCATAATTTCAGAGACAATTAATACATTTTTTAGCGATCAGGTTCAGACTAATATGTTTGTTTGCCAAAACATCAATGAAAATAGAGCATTAATCAAATTTGTAAAATTTGTAGTACTTTATTAAGTGTTAAATATAAAAATGTTGTAAACAACAAGCTTAAAAAATCAGTTCACCAAAATTACAAAAATCCCTGGTAGTGTCTGGCGGTTCTGATAGTTTTGGTTTTATTTGTGTGGTTTTGAGAAATTCGACTGATTACTCAGAATAATGTAAAATTTGTATTCAAACAGCAGCAGCAATTTAAAACAGAGATATCTCAAAACCTGGGCAGAAAACCCCCCATCAAAATATCTGCACGGATATTTTTACTAGCTGCAAAAATCTGTCTTTTTGTAATGTGGATGAACTGAAAGAAATTTTAATTTGTCTGTCAAAGCGATTACCTGCATCATTGACAGCATTCCTCATCTCGTAACTGTTGATGCTACCGGACTGGTCAGCATTATAGTGCTTAAAGATTCCCTGAAAGAGAGAAAATGTGAATTTGATGTAGATCACCTTGCTGGGAGTTCAGTTCATCTTTACAGACTGAGTTGGTAAAAAGTGATGAGATAGCGAGAGAGAGGGATTATAACCGCTGTTACAGAAAATGAGAGAGAGGGACACATTCCTTTCCCACCTGCCACTGTTTGATCTTATTCCACAGATGCCTGAACTCCTGAAGATTAAGTCTACCCGTCCCATCCATCTGAACAGAAGCAGTTAAGACCCAAATCGTGCAACACATTAGTCAGTGTCCACTTACAAAACAGCTGGCTTCATATTCCAGTACTGCTCTATGAGCTTAAAACTGACATCATTTAAATTTCAGTGTCACCCAGAAAAAGTGACTGCAAGTTTTGTTTTGTGTGTGTGTTGGAATTACATCACTAACATACTGTAGTGGATTGTGTAATAATTTTGCATGTTCTCCATCATGTCGTCATGTCCTAAGTTGTCACTAGAGCATCAACTTGTCAGGAGTAAATACACACTCAGACTGGACAATGACAAAGGGAAATATTGTATACTTGAAGTATTGAAAAATATTGCTGTTTGTGTAGTGAAATGAGGCACAGGCCCTGTGAGCGTCCATCATAGACCCCGCCATGGGTCTCGGCAGGTTGTGCTTCCTACAGACAACACAGCCAGCCCGATGCACTCGATACAAAGGATACGTCCATCAGAGCAATCATGCTCCTGCAGCTCTCCAGGCTGAAGCCCTCAGTGTTCAGGTCCTTATCTGGAGGGAGACACAGGACAGGACAAGATTCAGAGGGCAACAAATAAAGACAGAATGACCCTATTAAATCTGTTGGGAGTTTACAGAGGAGATTTTCCTCACATTCCAACTTATACAAATGTTTCAGAATAAAATCTCTCCACAGACTTAAGTTTTCATGTTTTTTTCTTCTGAAATTCTAAACATTATTGTTCCATTAAGGAAATATTTAGACTTAACAAAAAGTAAATTTTGGGATGTGTCTCCTTGATTCACAGGCGTCTCAGCTAGTTGCAGCAGCTGATTAAGTTTTGAGCCTGGTTCATTTTGTTTGTTGTGATGTTTGATGTGATCTCTCGCTCTCTGTTGCGTAGAGCTTGTGCAGCACCTGTGTGTATAGGTGGAGAGAAATAAGCGGTGCCCCATGATTGGTTCGTTTGAATGGATTGCTCTGCTAATGACATCAGTCCATTTAAACCTGAACAACTGAAGCCAATATATAGGTTTATGTATTACAACAAGTAGAGTTTCAGCTTTCTGACCATGTACTGTAAAGTTCTGACAGACAGTCAGGAAAGCGTGCAAATATAAAAAATAAATAAGCTGCAAATACAAAATACAGTAGAATATTAGGGCTGCAACTAACAATTATTTTCATTGTCGTTTAATCTGTCTAGTATTTTCCAGAGTAGTCGATTAGTTGTTATCTAAAAATGTCAGTAAATGGTGTTTTGAAGTTTCCAAAAGCCCAAGATCATAACCT